GGGGGGGGGGGGGGGTGGTGGTGGTGTGGTACGCGGTGGGATATTGAGCCATGCACTTGAACTTGTTTCTGGAGGGGGGTGTATATAGATGTACTAGAGTTAAATATTACGTTGGTTGATTTTTTTTTATCTTTTTACACAATAATAAAACTTAATATCTTAATGATTTAAGTATTGGGGTGAATAAAGAGAAGTGTGGGGTTTAAATAAAAAAAACTCTTTAGTTATTGAGTTAGTTAGACTTAATAATAGGGTTAAGAAGCATTTAGTTAAGTTGTAATATTATTTATCATTTTTTTAATAGGACATTATTTTGAGATTAGCTTGCACATAATAGGGTGAAAATTTTATCCAAATGACAAAGTTAGCCTTTGAGATTAGCTTGCACATACACTTACTGAGTTTAATTTTGCCATTTGCATAAGTTCTTTTTTTGTGAAATCATCAATTTTTGAATAAATAATCAATAAAAAAAAAAAAGGTTTTGTGAAAACAATCTGAAATCTCAAGGGGTTTTTTTTTTGTAATTTTTGAAACCTCAAAGGATTTTGTGTAAACACTGAAAACCTCTGGAAGTATTGGTGTAAATAACTCTTCTCAATGTTGCACAGAGATTTTAAATTCAAATCCACCAGTCAATCCAAAAAAAAAAAATCCCAGTTAATGCAAATATTGTATATACAAATTTTAATTATTTGTCAAGGAGCCAAACTCGGCCAATCCAGAAGGAGGAGAAAGTGAAGCTGCAGTTTCAAAGCCCAAGGCCACAACCGCCCAGCTTGCACTTATTTTTGGGCTCTGGTACTTCCAGAACATTGTCTTTAACATTTACAACAAGAAGATATTAAATATTTTCCCATTTCCATGGCTTCTTGCTTCTTTTCAGCCCTTTGCTGGGTCTGTTTGGATGTTGGTTCTCTGGTCTTTGAAGCTCCAACCATGCCCCAAAATATCAAAACCATTCATAGTTGCACTCCTTGGACCTGCATTGTTCCACACAATAGGCCACATCTCAGCATGTGTCTCATTCTCTAAGGTGGCCTGTTTTCTCGGTTGTCTTTTCGTCGTTCCTAGGCGATTCCAACCCTTTACAGGTCTGGCTTTCAATCCTCCCTATTGTCTTGGGTTGTTCTCTAGCTGCAATTACTGAGGTGTCATTCAATTTCCAAGGCCTGTGGGGTGCGTTGATTAGCAATGTTGGGTTTGTGTTGAGGAATATTTACTCAAAACGCAGTTTACAGAACTTCAAGGAGGTAGATGGGTTGAATTTGTATGGTTGGATCACTATACTTTCACTCCTCTATCTGTTTCCTGTGGCTATTTTTGTTGAAGGGTCTCAATGGGTTCAAGGGTATCACAGAGCTATTGCAACTGTAGGAAAACCATCCACATTTTATATATGGGTGTTGTTATCTGGCGTGTTTTACCATCTCTATAACCAGTCATCTTATCAGGCTCTTGATGAAATTAGCCCCTTGACATTTTCAGTTGGAAACACAATGAAGAGAGTGGTGGTAATTGTATCTACTGTGTTGGTGTTCAGAAATCCAGTTAGACCTCTTAATGCCCTTGGATCCGCCCTTGCGATATTTGGGACTTTCCTGTATTCACAGGCAACAGCATCTAAAAAGCAAAAGGGCGGTGAAAAGAAGAATTGAACATAGTTTTTACTTGGTCTGCTTCAAGTGTATTATTCTTTGATCTGGTAAAATTTGTGATTTGCTCTGGTTTATTCCACAGCTAATAGCTATCAAGTTTTACTAATGTCCAAGGTTTTATTTCATGAGATCTTCTCTTTGATATTTATCTTCATTTCTCTGTGTATTAACGGTAAATTTCATTAGGATTGATTAGGCCTTTCTTCTCCCTATTTCACTTGTTATATGCTTGTTGCTTGCTAAGTTTTGTTTGAATTGTTTAGTTTGTGTGTTTATTTGTGCCTACATACCTAAGAAGCTAAGTGCAAAGTTCTTTTTGGTTACACACAAGGTCTTAAATATCGAAAGTTTCGTTAATATCGGTGGTTCGAAAAGACGGAAATATCAGTGGTTCAAAAATATGGAAATATTGAGAAATATCGATATCAATAAAAATTGGATAAAAATCACAAAAATTGTGATAAATACATGGAAGTTTGTAATGAAACTTTAGAAGAAGTTTATTTAGTCAATCATCTATTATTTTGACACAAAAAATTGGTAAGAAATGCATTGCATAGTGGGTTTGAGTGATTTAAGTTGATTAAATAGGAAAGAAATAAATTATATTAAGTAATTAAGTAACTGATCAACAATATAAAACAATAAGTAATTATGTTAATTTCTATTTTGAAAAACAGCTCGCAACAGTTATAAATTTGAGATTTCATAAGTAAGAATGACAAGTTGATGACTAGTGTGGTGGTTAAGGGGCAACGTATATTTGGATGGAGAGGAGTTCGAACCCACCCTTGTGCACGTGACTTTTAAGTGAACTCTTTCATTTTTTATAAATTCAGTTTGTCTTTTTCAATAAATGCAATTGAAAATACTTTAAAAAAATGCATGTTGTCTTGCTTTACTATATTAAAGAGGATTCTTTTTCAACCACCATATTAGCTCATCAGTTACCTATTCTTTTTGCGTGCTTGTTATTTCTTGGTATACGAATTTGGGTACTCTTATCAGATTTTTTATTTATTAGTTAAAGAGTGTGCCACATCTTTAATGACCCTCACAATTCATAAATTCATATTTTTCTTTAACTTGGGGAAAGGTCATCATAGATGTGGCACTATTGGAATTTTTTGATGAATTAAACAAGGAGAGTGGAAGCAAGAGACATGCAGCTCAAGTAGCGAATAGCAGTTTTTCCTACACCAAAGGTCCTGTGTTCGAATTTCACCTTTCCAATATCACTTGTGCCAAACACCAAATAAACAAGAAGAATGAAAAACTAGAAATTGATATCTATATTATAGAACTATAGATATCATAATCCACATGGGATTAGTTTGTCAGACCAGCGGTTACAAAATATGCAAATTAACAACACAGGTCAATAAAGAAAGAAACGAAGACTTCTCAGCAAAAAGGAAGCAAAATTGCCAGAAAGATTTGGAGGCAAAATTAGACTATGCTATTTCAATTTTCAATTTTCAATTTTCAAATTTTAGGAAATACATATATAAATTAGGAATATATGACCCTATTGTCTTACCAAAAACAAATTAGCAAAGTTCTTAAACCGAGCTTAGATTCTTTTTTTTTTCTTTTTTTTCTGGTTGGCTCTCTTCTTCTCACAAATTATACAAATTAGCATAATTCTGAAGTTTTGTGAAATTCTTTGCAACTTTCCATAACCTTTAAAATTCATGATCTCTTCTTCATCATAAGATGTTTTTTGTGTTTTGTTTGTATTGTTGGGTATCTTTTCATCAATATTATAATAGTTTTTGTATATAATTTCTTTATTAATTTCCGGTTGATGAAATGGGAGAACCTCAAATGGGAGACCTACCCACATCAAATCCTGTGATTGAACTGGAAGGGGATGAATTTTGGCCACTTTCTGGGAACCCTTTTTTGATATGGTTCTCACGAAAACAACTATCAAACCCATGTACCAACTGGTAATTATCCTGTAATTTCCAATGTTCAAGCGAAAAATAATATGCCTACTGCTAAAACTTTCTTTTTCTTTGCAATCGTAGGCAATAATGTGCATTGCTAATTCTCTAATTTGGGTTATCATTTTCTTCTCTTTAATTAGTCTAATTCTTTGAAACAATAATTTGTTCGAGCATGTGGTCCCAGGCAAATGTAGGGCAACACTACCTTCCTGTTCAATCCCTACGGTTCTCACATTTCGAGGCAAGAACTGAGAGATGATATATCATGGACCATCCAGTCATAAAAGGCTTGATAACTTGAGAGCATTTGCCATTGACAACAATTTGAAGGTTGGAGATGCAAGTGTGTTTGAGAAACTAGAGTGCAGCAGTACTAGGCTAGTATTCAGGGTCCAAATTCTTAGAGGTGACATCCCATATGAATTTGTAGACAAGCTCGATGGTGATAATATAGATGCACCAATTGTTCTCGAATAGTATATGTCGTATTATCTTTTACTGGATGTCAAATTCCCAAATGAGATTACTTTCGGGAGCTAATATGATTTGAATTTGATAGAACTCTAGCAGAGCCTATTAAGGATGCAATAATTGTATGATTTTGAGTCCATATGTTCCAGTCTAGGAGTTATGGTGTCATTTGACACAATACTTAGTAACATGAGTATCTATTATTGTTTGGATACCTTTAAATAACATAATCAAGTAGCGTACTTTCTAACAATCCTCTTTAATAATTTCATACCATTCAACTGACGTGCTACTCAAAATGCATCGAATAACCTAATGAATGATTTATGAAGGTCTCATAATCTACTAAAGTAATTGTACTGTTTGCTTTCTGATGAGTGGGAACGTTTTATGTAGCCATCATGGTTCATTGTTTGAAGGACTGCATTTTCCCGAATTAAATTCTGATGTAACTGAAAGAGGATGGCACCCATATATTAAAAAGTTAAAACTCTAGGCTCTCTATTTAGTCTATGCTAAATCTAATTCAGTTGTCTCCTAGCCAACTTTAGATAAGAATGTCTATGTTTTTTTAACATTATTTGTTAGATGTAATGAGTAGGAGCTCATAGAGAACCAAAAAAAAAAGCTCAGTTTGTTTGAACTCCTGTTCATTGCAATAGTTTACATAGTAAAAGTTGAACCGGTTCATAAGGTTTGGGGCTAGCCCAGTTAGTAAGGGAATATGGAAAAGGGTTAGGGTTAGGATTAGGCTAGATGATGAACTAGATCACATGCCAATGTTCCAAAAAAGAAAGAAGCCTGGTTCTTGCATTCCTTTTTTCGTTGTTCACATATTTCTGTAAATTTACGTTGAAGTATCTATTCTTGTAACCACTTAACTACTTGTACTATTGACTCCTTGAACCAAACGGGCCCCAATTTCTGATGGTCTTTGATACGATAGTAGTCAAGATTATTCAGTTTTAGTATGTTGATGGAAAGCTGTGCAAGCAGAGCTATTTGCTACGCTTGGATTAGAGGGAGATTGTTGAGAGATCTTGGATAATTAGGATTTTATTTCTTTCCTTTTGTACAGATATTGTGTAATTAAAATTTTATCTTATTTCCTTGTATAACCCTATTAGGATTTACAACCTTGTATTATAAATAAATTCTTTTGCAGAATAAAATATAATAGGGGTGGGCATTATAACCGAAAACCTGACCGAACCGGACCGCTTTTGGTGGTTTGGTTCAGTTTTTATAATAAAAAAATCCATGAACCAGTAAAAAAACCCGACCGAACCGGCCATGAACCAGTTTAATTTTTGAAAAACCGGTGAAAACCGGACCGGACCGAACATTTTAAATTATATTATTTAAAAATAAATTTTAACATGTGGCAGCGGCTGATTCGTCCATTTTAAGCCCAGGTGTACGCCTTGCGACACTCGATCACTCGCTCGCGAAACCCTAATATTTCATTTCAGCCGCTCCAAATTTTTTTTCGCTTCTCTCTCGATCAGATCTGCCTCTCTCACTCAACCTCCTCTCCCCAAACCAAATCCGTCGACTTCTTCTTTCAAGCTCTCTGTCACTGTCGTTCTCTCTCTCTCTCGGTGACTCTCGCAGCGTGGCTCTCTCTCTGTCACTGTCGTTTTCTCCCGGTCAATCTCGCTATCTCTTTCTCAGCCATTCTCTCTGTCACTCTTGCTCTCTCTCACGGTCACTCTCGCTCTCTCTCAGCCATTCTCTCTCAGTTTTCCTCACTCGATTTTTCTGTCAATTTGAGCCGCAAATTCTCATGAACGAGTTAGGGCTTTAAGGTACTAATATCTGTAATTTTTTTTCTCTCTTAGTTCTCATGAACGAGTCTGACTATGTTGTGATTTTTATATTTTATATTTATATTTATTTTAGGGTTGGAAATTTATATTTATTTTGGGCATGATTTGTAGGTATTCGTATAAATTCCTTCGTTTATATTTGTATTACCCCAGGTCTGAAGGAAGACAGACTTCTTCTCTGTAAGTCCTCTTTATTTCTTGCGTTTTTATGGATCTTGTTAATAATGACTTAGTTGCTTGGCTAAACGCTTATGTTTGTTATTGTGTTTTTATGGATCTTGGTCTTTTGTTGAGTGTCCTGGTCTGTTACTTGTAGCAGCTTTTGTTATTGCTCGGCTGGTGGGTGAAATATTTGCTTTTTTGCTTGCATCATCTGGTTACTGAGTGTGGGAAATTGTTTTCCCTACTAATGTTATATGCATGTAGTTTCTACTTGCGCTTTCAATTTATTGCTTGTTCGCTTGTATCAGGATTAGAGTACTTTTCATTTGTCGATCCTCATCAAGAAGTTTCTATCTACACCAGGCGGCAGGTATAGATCTCTCTCTCTCGCGCGTGTTAAACAAGAGATTTGGAATATGTTATGTTAAACCTTTTGTCTCTGCATGATATGTAAGAGATGCTTTTATCATAGGCGTTCTTAAATGGTCATTTATTAATTATCAGCATATTTATATATTTATGTATTCTAAATTTGGCGGTGAAGCAAACTTCTACCTTCACTACAACTATCATTTCATGATTTATTGGACATCATAGTTTCATTTTCTCCTGTTGTATGCTTGTATACAACATCATACTTTGATTATTCATATGAA